CATAACTCCCTTTCTCTCATTTGATTTTCTTCTTTTCTCCTGGCGTTCTCCAGCATGACATCTCTGAAAACGACTATGGTCAATATTTTGGGTAACTGGGAAAACAGCTTACCAAAACCAACGTATTCTAAGAAGGTGTCTTTCTCAACACTGCCTCCTAGTAATGTTAAAATAATATTCACTTATTGATGCTTATGTGTGTCAGGCAGTGTAGGCACTATCCATGCATGATCTCATCTTCAGCTTGCAAGTAAACCTACGGAGGGTTGTATTTTCTCCAGGTTACAGACGAGGGAAGTCTGCACACTAGGCACTGAGCTAGGATTCTGCCAGGTGTCTCTGGAGCCCGCAGCCTTTACTGTTATGCTACTGCCAGCTCCAGGGCCTCTAGTTTATTTCCCTCTCTCCCAGTCTGTGTGGCTCTGAAGATGAAGTAAAGGCTGATGACTCTGGACTGTCCTCTGAAAAATCCGGCTCCCTCCTCTCCTCATTCCTCACACTTATGACTTGCTTGGGGGATGCTTCCCACAGCACGTTTATGATCCTGGTTTGTGTGCATGACTCTCTGCCTGATATTTTTATTTTCCTCCAACAGTGGAAGGACTGCTGGGAATAATCTGATACACATGAAGAGAAAACGAGGAGTCACTAATAAGATTAAATTAAACTTAAGCACATTTTAAACAGTGTGTAAAACACAGGACTAAGCACTGTTTGAGATGAGCAGACACAAGGCACGACCTCATGGAATTTACAATTTGCTGGGGAGAGGAAATGAGGGATAAGACTACACACAAATATACAGGAGTTTATGCCAAATATGGCAAGTTCCATGAGAAAGGAAGAAATGAAGCAGTGTAGGGCTGGAAGGCAGGAGTCCTCCCGTTTCCCTGGGGACCCAGGTTTAAGAGAAACTGTGGAGACTGAGACTGGAGAACGGGAAGTTTTACTCAAGGCTCAGTCACTGATGCACTGACAAAGCCTCGAGGTTCACCCTCCCCAGGACAAGTTACATAATTTACAGGGCTCAGTTCAAAAATTAAAGGCAGGGCCCTTTGTTCAAAAATGAAGAATTTCAAGATGGTGACGGCAGAGCATGTAATCAAGTGTGGGGCCCTCCTCAGCACAGGCTGCATCCCCACAGGGCTGGCCCTGCCCAAACGAACCTCCCTGGGCCTCTGGTTCCTTAGGGCTCACCTTTGGGAAGTAGGGAGCAAGTATGTCCCTCACCACCCTGTAGCCAGCACCTAGCCATTCATCTCAGGGCCAGATGAATCCATGAATGACTGGAGATAGGATGAACTAACACGATTACACCTGATGATTTCTTGGGTTGCTTTCAGTGTTAAGACATTGAAAGACTGGCCAGGCGCAGTGGCTCACGCCTGTAATCCCAGCACTTGGGGAGGCTGAGGTGGGCAGATTGCTTGAGTTCAGGAGTTCGAGACCAGCCTGGCAAAATGGTGAAACTCTGTCTCTACCAAAAATACAAAAAATTAGCTGGCCACAGTGGCCTGTGCCTGTAGTCCCAGCTACTTGGGAGGGTGAGGCAGGAGGATGCCTTGAGCTTAGAAGTTCAAGGCTGCAGTGAGCCGAGATTGCACCATTGGCATTCCAGCCTGGGTGACAGGAGTGAGTGAAACCCTGTCTCAAAAACAGAAACACAATCCGTCAAAAGACAGTGACTTTGAACATTTCTTGGAGGAAACACCTGAGATGAGTCCTGAAGGACAGTAGGATTTTTCTTTTCTTCTTTTTTTTTTTTTGAGATGGAGTCTTGCTCTGTCGCGCAGGCTGGAATGCAGTGGCGTGGTCTCGGCTCACTGCAACCTCCACCTCCTGGGTTCAAGCGATTGTCCTGCCTCAGCCTCCTGAGTAGCTGGGATTACAGGCGTGTGCCACCATGCCCAGCTAATTTTTTGTAGTTTTAGTAGAGACAGGGTTTCACCATGTTGGCCAGGCTGGTCTCGAACTCTTGACCTTGTGATCCGCCTGCCTCGGCCTCTCAAAGTGCTGGGATTATTGCGTGAGTCACCAGTAGGATTTTTCTTTCTGTTTTCTCCACTTTCCTTCTCTCTTGACTTTCCACTATTTTTCTATTTCTTTCATAAATCCTAATGGCAATGTTATGCCTTACAGTGAGACAAGCAACAGTGACACAGCCTGGAAACAGCAGAAAGGTTCAATATTTGAGGGATGACTTGAAGCTTTAGATGGTATAGTTGATTCTTTGAGTTGAAGCTTAGATGGTATAGTTGAAATCTTCATTGATAGAGTCTGGTCTTTCATCTTAGAATTATTTTGTTTTATTTTCATTGGACAAGTTGGTAGATGTTTGTGAAGAAAAAAATCAGAAAACTATAGATGAGCAAAAATAAATTACGCGAGCCCATTAAAATACATTTAAGGCAGCATGATAAAACAGTTCTTTTTTATTTTTTTTTTTTTTTGGAGCGATCGCTGTTCCTCCAGGTCTAGAGGCATGGCCGTACTCGGCCACTGCAAGCTCCGCCTCCCGGTTCACTGCCATTCCCGGCTCAGCCCTCCCAAGTACCGAGACCTACAGGCCCCACCCCGAAGCCGGCTAGTTTTTTGTATTTTTAGTAAGACGGGGTTTTCACCATGTAGCCAGATAGTCTCGATCTCCTGACCTCGTGATCCACCCGCCTCGGCCTCCCAAAGTGCCGGGATTACAGGCTTGAGCCACCGCGCCCGGCCAAAACTAGTTTTCAATCTATTTTTCCATTCAATAATCTGAGCATCTTTTTTTTTTTTATTTTTTTGAGATGGAGTCTCGTTCTGTTGCCCAGGCTGGAGTGCAGTGGCACGATCTTGGCTCACTGCAACCTCTGCTTCCCTGGCTCAAGCAATTCTCCTGCCTCAGCCTCCCAAGTAGCTAGGACCATAGGTGCATGCTGCCATGCCCAGCTAACTTTGAATTTTTTAGTAGAGATGGGGTTTCACCATGTTTCCCAGGCTGGTCTCGAACTCCTGAGCTCAGGCGATCCGCCCCTGTCCACCTTGGCCTCCCAGAGTGTTGGGATTACAGGCATGAGCCACCACACCCAGCCTATTAGGAGCATCTTTATGTGTCAATAAACCTCTTCATTTTTTGTAGCTATTAATATATGATCTTCTGTCATATGGTTGTACTCTCATTAACCAATGCACTCAAATTGGATATTTGGATTGCTTTGATTTTTTTTTTTTTTTGGCTATTCTAAAATGGTGTTGCCCTGAATTTGCTGGGTAACTCTACCCTTTGTTTTCCACCTCTGTGGATAACCTCAGGATAACAATACTGTTCCCACCTGGGGTTGTGTGGTGGATGTGAGTTAACGCATGTGAAGCTCTTAGCACAAGTACAGTACAGTGCATAGCAGCCTAGATGTGCTTAGTAAGTATTAGCTGTTTTATTACTTTATAGCCCAGAGAGAGCTGTCTTTACGCAGATCGTGGAGTAAATAGGAGAGCCTGGGAAGTGTTCTTTGAAAAGCTGCAGGATAAGGTGCAGGTAGGGGAAGGTGTGGGCTGGGGGCTCCCTAGGTTGAGTAGTTCCCCAGTGTTTTCTCATTTGTACGGTAAGCTTCCAGACGGCTAAGAGTCTTCTTCTTCTTCCTTTTTTTTTTTTTTTTTAATACACAGCAGAGGACACCAGGTGGTCACCAAAGACAAAGGGTCACCGTTCCCTGACATCTAAGAATCTTTGCTGATGAGCTTCTGATCAGTCTGTGCAGTCATCAAGGCCAGTCTTTTCCCCACCACCCACAGCCTGTTCACTGGGAACGTGTTCTGGCTGGCTGAATATTCTTGCAAGGGCAGTTGACAAAAATCAGTTGTGCTCAGCCCAAGGGGCGACTGTCTTATCTTCAGGGATGTGGGAAGCTGGGCATGGAGGGAGCAAGTTCCACACCAGTACTTGCTGGCTCTGCGACCTTGGGCCAGCAGTTTCCCCACTCTGATCCCTGTCTCTGTAACTCTGAGGGGGACTAGAGGAGGTTAGGAGAATGGTATAGCACAGTGGTTAGCGCTGAACCCCATCTAACACAGTGCCTTCCCTCCACTTGCAATGACCCTGTTGCATTGTATGCACTCTACTTTTCACATTGCAGAGGATCTTATTTATTTACTTGTTTGTCTTCACTAAAATGGAAACTTCCTAGGGAAAAGGCCTTGCGTGTCTTGTTCTCTGCAGTTAACACCCGGGTCCAGCAATGCCACAGAGCCTCTAAATATATGTGTGTTGCATGAGTGAAATCTCAGAGCCTGGGTTCAAATCCTGGTTGCACCACTTGCTGTGTGACCTCGGACAAGTCACTTAAACTACACCTCAGTTTTCCCGCATAAAAATTGTAATTATTTTCAGTTTTCTCACTAGAAAAATATGGATTAGTAATCGTTCCTCTCTTATCAGGCTAAGAGGATCAAATGAGGAAATATCCAGCAAGCATTAAGCACACTGGTTGGTACAGAGCACGCAAATGATAACAGCAAACGTTTATGTAGTACGACGGCCAGCAGGCACTGATCTAAATGCATCGCCTATGTTAACTATGTTAATCTTCACTAGATTTTACGAAATCGGTACTATTATGCCATTTTACAGATGGGTAAACTGAGGCCCTGGGGTTAAATAATTTATCACTGTTATTTTACGTCTAAGGTTCCTTCCAAGCTCCCCGTGGGCGACCCTTCTGAAGAACCAGAAGGCACGCCAGGCCAGCGTCCGGCCCGGCCAGGACTGAAAGGGTCAGTCGGCCCACGCACCCGTTACCGGCGGAGGCCGGCGGGCTCACAATGCCAGGAGCCAGGCGCCGGACGCTTCCTCGCCTCCCATCCACGCACACGCCCCTTCCTGTCACTGCCGGGCCCGGCCCCGCCCCCTGGCTCCGCCCGCTGGCCAGGCGCTGCCAGAGTGGACGGTTCCAGAGGCATGCTAATGAGGGGGCGGGCACCGCAGCCCATTGGTTGTCCGCGGAGTGTCGGTGAAGTCAGCGCTGAGTCCCAGAAAAACAGAGCGGGGCCAGCTGCAGCGTGTAGTGCGAGTGGGGCGGACGCGCGCAGCCCGCCTGCCCGGCGACCAGCAAGGTAAGCCCGCGCCCGCCCGCCCGGCCGCGCTCGCCTGCTCAGCAGCGGCGGCGCCGGGGGTGTGCGCGGCCCGGCCCCCGCGGGCGGCGCCTTTGTTCAGCCCTCGGAGGAGGCGCATTTAAAGGGCCAGCTGTTGGAGGGACTTGGGGGACCCCCTCCCCCAGAGCATCCCCCTATGGGCACAGGGAAAGCGGTGGTCCCCCGCGGTCGAACCGTCCATCCTGCCTGCTCGGCGGATCCCCAGTCTTTCAAGGGAAGTTCCCCACGGTGCGGAGGATCTGGGGGCTTCCAGGGTTGGGTTTTTTTTTAATTTCCTTTTTTGGTGGGTGGGGGGTAGTGCGATCGTGGCCTCTGCTAGGAGAGAATGTCCGCCCGTCTCAGGGTGGCTGCAATATGGGTGGGTGGAGGAGACATCAAAGCCCGGATGGGTTTGTGCTGTAAAGTGAAACTACCAAGGAGGGGCACCTCTGCAGCAGCCAGAGGAAGGCGGAGGGAGCGAGCGGCAGGATGGAGGCATCTCAGGTGTGTTCATTCATCAGCATCCCCTGGAGAGGGCGGCGGGAGGGGCGCAAGGACGACGCGGCTGGCCGGACCCGCCTGAATGAACGGGGACGAGTATGCGCCGGGGACACCGCGCCTGCCCGTGCCGCCCGTGCCCCTTTTTCTCCCCGAGTGGCTGACAGCATCTTGCTAGGCAGCTCATCACCGACATGGACAGCAAGCAACTCCTTTCTCCGAATTCCCCGGGCATCCCCTGCTCCCACCTCGCTGCTTTCCGACGTGGCTTCCTTGATACGTGGTAGCGCCATTCAAGATAGAGGGGGAAAGAGACTTGAAGTCATTATGTTTCCTTCATGGGGGAATGTGCTGTCGAATTCTGCATCCCCATACATCCGCTGTCGTAAGATGGCTTTGAAATTCACCAGTGCCTGCTTTCTCCAGGCAGACAAGAATTTATTACGCTGTTACATTGCTACATAAAAGCAGAAGGGATCCCACTGAGCGTGGCTCGTTTTATCCAGTCCTCGGGTTTTCCCAGCATGTTCTGGGCGAGCCTTTGGATTTTTGTTTTAAACACTGAGCGTTGGGATGCCCCTGTTGTCACAGGGGCCGACCTGCTGAAATTGCTGGAATTGGTTTCACCGTCAATAGGAGGGAGGTTCATCTAGAGACATCATGGAACCTATCTGGCATGTCAGGCCTCTGACTCCATCTCTCCCCTCAACCCCCCGCCCCCGCCCAGCCCCCTGCGCCCTTTTTCCTCTCTTAAGTGGAGGCGGGGGATGTCTTCACTCTCCTTGTGTTTTGAGCTCCTCTGCTTAGATTCAATTCTGTGTTTTTGGTTGGAAAGGTATCTTGGTGGTGATCGAAGAAAGGAGGGTTGGATTAAAAGTGGGGTGGGCACCAGAGGGGTCAGCAGCATCAATGACAGAAAACAGATGATGGACATATCTACAGCCTTCAGACACCCATGAGGTAGATGGCTGTCTACAGAGTGAGGGGCATGTGTTTGGGCTGTGAGGGGGAGGGGTGGAGGAGGAGGATGCCCCCAGCAGTTTTCTGCCCCGCCCTCTGGATGCTGCCTTAAATAGCCCCTTGCCAACCAAGCTCTGATGTCTCCTTCTTGGCCTGAGGGGAAAGAAGGGAAGGGTTGGTCTGTTGGCACCTTTGCCCTAGGCACTGTTGGAGCAGATGGTTAGGAAACGGTTAGTTCTCCAGGGGTTGCAGAGAGCACATTTCTCAGCTGGAGGGCCCTGAGACCACTCCCCTAGTGACTTCCCTGCAGGGAATTAGCAACTGAAATGAAGTGCTGTCTACCCTCTGGGGTAAAGAGTTGGGGGGGTATTGTCATCTTGTGGACTATACTCACCTTGTTGGCCCTTTCCTTCTCCTGCCTGCTTTCATTTGTTGTAGTTGGAGAGTACCTGTAAACTTTTCAGAAGAGATTGGGCATATTGGGGAGTGGGTAGGAGTTATGGGAAAGGATGAGCAAATTCTTCTTCCTGGTAGAACAAAGCACTGCTCAGCTATTCCCGTCTTTCCCCTTCTCTAAAATAGAGTTCAAAACAGATAGCAGAGTCTAGGGCTTTCTTTGCAAAGAATGAAAGGGCAGGGCCAGGAAAGAAAGTTTTTATTGTTCAGCATTGATAATCATCGGGTCATCCAAACTTATCTCCTGACCCCTCCTTGGATGTGGAGATAGATTTGCTGTAGAGGGCACTCTATGGTAATTTAGGATTTGACCTGTCTCTAGCAGAAAGGCGTGGATGGTCTCAAAAAGCTTCGGTGGAGGAGCTCTGGGCCAGAGGCAGGACAGCTGGCTTTGGTCCTGGCCACCAATCTTTGGGGTTTGGGCTTCTGCTCTCTGGGCCTGTGTCCTTGCTGGTGAAGTGGAGGATGATAGGGCAGAGGGTCTTCCAGGGTTCCTGACAACTCCCCTGTTCTTAGAGTCACAGTTTGTGATGGCATTTTCAGGTTCTTTCCTGTTTGCTAAACTGATAATACATTCAAAGTATTGCACAATGGCGTGAAAGAAGCATTCTAGGACGCAGGCTTCTGTTGGATTCACATCTACCTTTTCCTTGATTAGTGTGATTGGTGAGATTTTACTGTAAGTACATAAATAATTCAGAGCTAGAATGGCCCAGAGTGAGAGGCACAGAGAGAGACCCCAGAGTGAGTGGTTGTCTGTGGGAGATGAGGATGCGATGATAGATTGCTGAGGAAAGGGAGTTTTTGTAATTTGTTCTCTTTCCCTGTGGATGTTTAACTTGCTGGTTTATTTATGGTTCTACAGGTGAACGTTTACTTATCTAGAAGATGAGAGTTATAAAAGACCTCTGTGATTGCCATGTTCCGCCCCCTCCCCTGCCAAACTGAGGAATTTGAGGGGTTGGGAGGTTTGGCCATTTTTCCAGGGTCGCACAGCTAGCAAGACGTGGAGCTGGGGTGGGAACTCAGGTGGAGAGATTGTAGATCTTGTTTCCACATGTATCTGGGTTTTTTTGTTTTGTTTTGTTTGTTTGTTTTTGTGTTTTGGTGGGGGTGGTTGTTTTGAGACTGGGTCTCACCTGTCACCCAGGCTGGAGCGCAGTGGCACAGTCACAGCTCACTGCAGCCTCGACCTCCTGGGCCCCGGCAGTCCTCCTACCTCAGCCTCCGGGGAACTGGGACCACAGGCACACACTACCACACCCAGCTAATTTTTGTGCTTTTCGTAGAGACAGGGTTTTGCTGTGTTGCCCAGGCTGGTCTCAAACTCCTGGACTCAAGCTATCCGCCTGCATCAGCCTTCCAGCATGCTGGGGTTATAGGCTTGGGCCACTGCGCTGGCCTGTATGTATCTGTTAAGCTTCCTCTTCCTCTGAGAGAAAGGATCCTAAGATGGAATAGGAAAACATGAGGAGTAAATAGGAGCACAAGAAGAGAGAGATTGGAGAAACAGACAAGAGAAAGGAGGAGGCTGGGGACAGGTTATGTGGGGAAGGGAAAAACACAGAAACCAAGCTTGGAGGAGAAAAGGATGGAGCTTGAAAGGGGGAGGCTCTATTGTCTCTGAAACAGCTGAGCTCTTCTGCAGCCCTTGGGCTGAAGTGAGGAGAGGTTTGGTAGACTAGAATGGGGGGTGGGGGAGTGGACTGAGAGTTCAGCCTCAACCTGAGACTCACTTGGAATCTCCTTGGGATTGCTGCTGTTGACCCTCAGATTGCAGTGTCGTGGAGGCTGCTCAGTTTCAGGGCCAACTGAGGCCTTTAGATCCATGGGAGCATGCAGAACGTGGACATGTGGAAAGTCAGGTGTGTGGGTGGTGATGCTGGCTGATGCTGAGGTGGGACTCAGTTCTGCTGAAGTCCCGGTTTTTTTGTAAATGCAAAACTCAAAACACTTTTCCGTGGATTTCTTTTCCGTGCAAGCGGCATTTTCTCCTTGGATTTTCAACATTTGCTTTGAACGTTTTATGAGATGGTGTTTCACATACTCCCTTTTCAGAGGAGATACTTGGAGATGAATGATCTACTGAATTGTGGCTCATTTGGGGGAGCTTCTGGCTTGTGACCTAAGCTAAGCCTCAGAATTTTCAATGAGCAATTACAGAGCTGCGAACAGTGGTTGACCAGAGCATTAACCATTCGAAGGCAAGGATAAAGGGTGATAATAGTTCAAGGTCTGGAGCTATAGCCAACAGCTGGCCATGAACAATGTAATTGACTTTGGCTAACTCTTCAAGCCCAAGGAAGTATCTCTGTGGGTCCTTTGGTGGCTGCCCGTTTTTGTGTGCAGTTAGGCATGTGGGCCCGTCCTTGAATCTTGCTGTCCCCCATTCTTCTTTTCCTACGTCTCCCTCCTCTATCCATTTCTTTTTCTTACCTCTTTCTCCTTGCTCTCCTCCCTCATTCTTTCCTTATTGTCAACAATATATCTTTGTAGTTTCTTTTAATCTCTTGCTATTAAAATGTAATGTTCTCTGTTCTTCATTTCAAATCAGTTGAGGGCCAGGCATGGTGGCTCACACCTGTAATCCCAGCACTTTGGGAGGCCGAAGCGGGTGGATCACCTGACGCCAGGAGTTCGAGACCAGCCTGGTCAACATGGTGAAATCCCGTCTCTACTAAAAATACAAAAATTAGCTGGGTGTGGTGGTGGGTGCCTATAATCCCAACTACTCAGGAGGCTGAGGCAGAGAGAATTGCTTGAGCCTGGGAGGTGGAGGTTGCAGTGAGCTGAGATTGCAGAGTGAAACTCCATCCAAATAAATAAATAAATAAATAAATAAAATCAATTGAGTTCAGTCTTTTTCGAATGTGTATGTGTTTTACACACAAAACAAAAAAGAGGCAAATGAACCAAATCCAACTAAATTGCTTTTTACTTCTGTGTGGCCTTCCATTGATTTATCCCCCCCACTTCTTCTGTGGTCAGCAGTGGCTTTTTATAGAAAAAAAAGTTCCCAGGTCTCTGTCATGCGGTTATTGTTTTTACAACAATAGAAAAAAGTTTCC